TTACTTAGTTAAATAAACTATAATCAATAATGTAAAAAAGTTACTTTCAGAAAAATACAGGCAAGTAAAGAATCTCACCAAAGAGTAAATGAATCAAATTTCAATTAAGATGATACATCTACTACCTCTCAGATGCTTTGCTTCCAAAGTGAAAACTAAAGAATGGAGGTACTTCTCTACTGTATATAGACATGGACAATGATCCAAAGATTTTTTCATGCTGAGTGGAACTCCCAAAAGCTTCAAAAAGAAAAATGCAAGGCAAAGTGTGATCTGAAGTTTCCCCCTTCTAGAGACCGCCCTGTGAACCAAGACTGCAGGTACCTAACATTCAGCTTTCCTACTCTATACTTTAGGTACAAGGATACATAAAGCAGTCCTCATTACCTTGCTGTGATTTTTAAGCTGCCACACCTACTATTTCCCATAGAATGCTGACTAGCCTTCATTTGCTCAGTCATGGGTACTGTATCCATCCCATCTGGAAGCTGAGCTGCTTATTCCAAGTGCTTGTAACTCACATGGTGTCAGGCACCTACTTCTTGAAGTAAATGCTATTTTGAGCATACCAGAAGGCAGAACCACAGCCTTCTGAACCACAGAACACAGTTAGGGAATATTCAGATTCAACCCAGAAGTACCCAGGAGGCTTAAGCAAACACAGCATGAGAGTTACTAAACATGATTTTTAATTCCAGCTTTGAACTTCACTGTTTGAAGCTTCTCCAAACCACTTTGAGCTAGCTCAAGTATTAAAAACACTACTTTTTTTTTTTTGAGAAGGTTTACCAATCTGTAATTATTAATGACAATCTGAAACACTGATAGGAATGCACATGTGAGTTGACCTTTGTGCACAGAGACCAATATTTCAGGATAATATGGTCTGTACATACTAAATTACAAGGCGTGGTTTCCAAAGTATGATTTCATCTAGCTACTCTCCTCCTCTGACAATGTTAACTTGCAGTGAAAATATCCAAACCAACAAAACAAACAGAACACATTGGCAGCTATGTCATTTAGCAGTCAGTTAACAACATGAGACTCTATTCCAGACAGAGTAGAATTACTTTCAGTTTATATATGCAAGGAAATAAAAAACTTAGACCTACTTTCCTCATGAATTTTCAGGTTTTTTTTATTTAACACTGTTCACCAATATAAGCTTAGCATGTAGTATCTTAATAAGGTGAAACTGAAAACTTTTAATAGAATTTATCCGAGCAAGTTCCTGGGAATCTTGGCAATTCCCAAGATGAAATCTATGGGAAACTTGAGTAAAACAAGCTCTTTAGAGAGCTAAAACAAATTCAAATACTCTGTAAAAAACTGCTTGAGCAGGGTTTTCTATTCTATTAATATTTTCTATGCTAGTTATGTACAGAGTTAATCTTGTACACTTGAGCAGTTCAAGAGGACTTACAAGCATCAGTGTCCTTGTATTTTTCTGCCTATAGTCCCACAGTCTCTCAAGGGAAAACAGCAATTTTCAGAAGACAGAGCAATGCCACAGAGCTCCATAAGTAATTTTCCCATAATTGTGTACATTAAGGCAGAAAAAATAACAAGGAAGCTGGCAGAGTCTCTATCCTAAAATATTCCCCAGTAGATAAGAGACATTCACAGTCCTTCTCTGCATTAACTGCCTAGATTAATAGCATCTAACAAAGGAGGATAGAGCCACAAATGTTGGGGATTGCATGTGCAGCCCTCTCCTCACACTACGAGTAGGGAACAGGTGCTGCTGTAGACAATAGTGAGACACACCTCTCCTTTCCTCTTCCCAGGCTGCCTAGAAATAGGACTGAGGTATCCTCTCGAGTCAGACTAGGGCCACTGTCTGGAAATTACAGTTCAATGTTTACATTTAAGATGAAGGAGAAATCCACAGTAATTGATCTGACCTCATAATCATGTAAGATATCAGAATAAACTTAGAGTAACAAACATAGAGGTCGATAAAACAGGGCAAAGCTCCCTAGGGCTCAGAAAACAAAGGTGTCCCATTTTCAATTAGTCTTTTCACAGCTAGTAATTACACCAGGCTAACTCATTTACTAGAGCCTTCTATTTGAAGGACTGGTGCTTCTACTATTTAGGTGTTTAAATTGTATTTCAATATGGTTCACTCTCTTCTAGCATACTATTAATTTACAAGAAATATGCTGGTTTTGAAAGTTTAGGCTTCTCCCCATCTTTTCAAGTTATGAAACCAACTGTTTCTACCAGGGCACTGTGAAAGAATTTTCTAAGGGAAAGAAAAGCAAACCAAACACAGTTCTATCCTACTCGCTATAAAGTTTGGGCCTCTACATTTCCCAAGTACATCTTCAAATACCTTGTTTTCTTAAGAAAGCAGCAAACTCCAAGGTCCCACCTAACTCCAACACAAAACACACCCTAGGACTTATCTTTCCATCAAGACTTTTCTTGTTAGTTGAACTCTGCAAGTGTGCCAGAGCCCTCATTTACCAGATCCTCCTCCAGATGCAGCCATAAATGCTTATTAAGCTCACAGGTTAACTATAAGACTTTTCACTGCTGGTGGAAGATAATGCAGGACTGGGTGTTCATTTGGCCACATATTGCCTCATGAAGCAAGGCCAATTCTTAACAAATCTACTTTCTTAAAAAGAAAGGGTTTTGCTGAGAAAAGGGAACAGTAGTACATGTGAACTAGTAGAATTTTTATATGAACTTTGATACACTGTAGGCTGAGAAATTCTCAGTTTCGCTGAGAACGATACGGATTATTCTGAGAAACATGGAACTAGTTAAATGGATAATGGTAAGTTACTTGGAGGGGCTATGCTATTAATATTGTCTCATTAATATTTTCACTCATGATCTTGATACCAAAATCAGCAATGTGCTTATGTAACTTAAGATGATAGCATTATATAGTAAAAAACCAGTCACCCTGATTATTAGTATAGCTACTTTGAACTAAAATGCTTAGTACATGGTTTTGGGACTAACAAATGTCTCTGTTTTCACTTTGGAATCTGCTAGTTGAAGACGGGAAACAAAAGATCTTGAAGGACAGTAGTAATTCTGCTGTGAAACAGACAAATGCAATCTTCATCAGAGACGAAGTTCAGCAACATATTCATTAATGTGACTGAACAAGGTCTTGCATACAATTTCAGAACTGTGATGAAGTAAGATCAAATCAAACTTAGAGACCTAGACAAGAACAACAAGAATAAAGAAGGAAATTAATATTTTATTATATGACAGAAAGCTTTTTTTCAGGTATTGTATGGAAGAGTTAAGAGATGACATTATTGTATTCTAAAACTACATCAAAGAATAAACATGATAGAAGACAAAGAATGTTTTCAGTTCCAGATGTTGTTGAAGAGAACAACTGTGCTTAAAATGACCCTGTAGACCATATGTAGACTGAAAATTTGGTTTTTAGTAGTCAGAAAAAAGATCCACTTGGAACATCCTTACAGTAGTTCAACTGGATTCTAAACAAAATTTGTTAGTTTATAAGTGAAATTACATGCTATTGCCTGCAAAAGCATGGAAATAAGCAGCCCTTTTCAGTCTAATTCCTTCTATTTTTAGAAAAATAGGGATCATGTTAATGAGCAGAGTTCTGTGATCACTGTGAATTAAGAGACTTCAATGGGTCTATTAGTATCAACACTGACATCTAACTGATACTGTCCTGAGGAAGTCTCAGTCTAGTGAAAAAAGAGAATTATTAGTTTTTCACTTGAAGAAATTTGGCAGGCTGTATTAGCTGAAATGGCAGCATCTGTTCTGCATTTTTGACACTCACAAAAATGTATTGTGAATACAAAGAGGTAAGTTTTGATGAACAGTTAAGAAGCGTGAAAAACACAAATTCTATCAAGGAATTACAGCATGTAGGAGCACTGAACCTTCCTGCACTTCCATATTCTACTGTGTAGACATGGTGACAATTATTTGGTAGGAGTGTGTGCATGGCTGTCTTCTTGAAAGCCATTTTTGGCAAGTGGTGGGCTGTCTTGAAGTACAATTACTTTCATGGCCAGGCCTTGATGGTTGTTTACAATTGAGTTGTTGCCGACTTGAAGGTGGGTTTACAGAGAGCTCTCCTTAAATCCAGTATGTATGTTTGTATACATACTTACATGGTATGTCTGGATAAGCCACTCCAGATAAACAAACATACAAGAATCAATCAAAGTGTTTCTGTTTACTGTGAAAAGCCCACTCCCATACTTGTAAAAACCAACTTTTCTACAGAAGCCAGGCTTGATGCTCATCTTTAGGATGGATTTGGCTCAGCTGTATCCCCTTCATAGCAACCAAGTGCTATGGCAGAACAAGGACGTTTCCACCCTTGTGTGTCTGCCCGTCCCTGGGGCGCTGCCCGGCCACAGGCTGGACGCGCACTCGGGGCAGGCTGGCCAGGGTGCCAGCGGGATCCCCTGCCAGAGCAGGCCCGCTCGGGCTGGCTGCCTCCGGCCCCGGCTGCCGCGGCTGCTCCGGCCGAGGCAGGAGCCCCGGGCCGGCATCGCTCCTGTCCGAGCAGCGCGGCTGCTCATCGCTTCACCCCACACAAACCGGCCTCCTCCACGCGCACTCTTTGCAATGCCCCAGTGCCTCCGTGCCCCGTGGGGGATCCTCCCTCCCGACTTTGCTCGGGCCGTCCCAAAGCCTCTGGTAAAGGAGGCGGCGAGCGCCGGACCCCGCTGAGCCGCGCAGACCCTCCGCCTCGCCCCGGGCCGTAGCGGCCCGAGGCCGCGCCGCCGCTGGAGGGCAGAGCGCGGAGGGGCGGCGAGCGAGGGGCGGGCACTGCCGGGCCGCGTCCCCGGCGTGTGAGCATGCCGCGCCGGGAGGAGGAGGAATTCCTCGGCCGGGCCGGAGGAGGTTCGCACTGGAGTTAGCGCCGGGCAGGGAGGAAGAGCGAGCGCTGCCGGAAGCGGCGGAGCGGCGGCGGCGCTGGGAGCCCGCGGTGTCCCGCGGACAGCGATGTAGCTGGGTGACAGCGGCCGGAGCGCGCCGCCTCCGCTGCCAGCGGGCCGGTGCGGCGGGTCGGGAGCTTCTCCGGGGAGGCGGCGGCCGCGCCTCGTCTCGCCTCTCCCCCGCTTTCCCCTCTGCCCTCGGCACCGTCTCTCGGCGCGGCCCTCCCTCCGTTCCTGCCTCCCTCCGCCGCCGGCCGGGGGGCTGCGGCCGCCACCGCTGCCATGGGGCTGCCCACGCTGGAGTTCAGCGACTCCTACTTGGACAGCCCGGATTTCAGGGAGCGCCTCAAGTGTCACGAGATCGAGCTGGAGAGGACGAACAAGTTCATCAAGGAGCTGATTAAGGACGGAAGCCTCCTCATCGGGGCCCTGCGAAGTGAGTCGGGCGGTGGGACCGGCGGTGGCTGGCAGGAGAAGGGGCTTCTTTTGTTTGAATGGGCGCCGGGCGCGGGCTCCCCTGCCGGCAGCCGCCGAAAGGCGCCTCCTCAACTTTCTCTGCCCCGCTCCCTCCCTTCCTCGCTCCCCGCCGCCTCGCCTCGCCTCGCCCGCGGCGGGGCCGGGTGGGTGTCCCGGGGGAGCGGGGGCGGCGCGGGCCCTGCCTCGGCCCGGGGGCCCGGCCGCGCCCTCCCCGCCGGGGCCGCGGGCAGAGCGTGGGCGCCGCCGGGGCGCGGACCGGCCAGGTGGTCCCGCCTGGGGATGCGGGCAGAGCCCGGGGTCGGGGCTGGGGCGGAAAGTCGCCGTGTAGATCGCTGTACCCCACGGACCAGGCGTGGAGTGTTGCGGTGGGGTCTCTTTTTGGCACGCTGGCTACTAGTTGAGTGTCTGCATATAACGAAGATATTCGTAATAAGTGGGCAAAGTGACATAATGAAGTGGATTTATAGGGAGAGTTTATATCTTTCCCCCCATCCTGTCGAGTCTTCATGTTGTAGATGAACTTTTATGTATTTTGAAAGTTCTGAGAGCGGAGAAACACGAATAGTGCAGTGCTTTTAAAGGTCTGTGAGTTGAGCAGTGACAGCTTTCTGGGGCATGAAAACAGCAGTCATGCTCTGAAGATCATGAAGTGAAAGCTGGGAATCGCCCAGGAGCGCCACTAGACTCGGTTTGTCCTCCCGTCCTGTAAACCTTGCCACCCACTTCTTGTCTTTAACTCACTTTGGATGTCTCACCTGTTGCCCAAAGTTTTCCTTCACGGAGAGCAGAGAAGTAACTCTCTTTTTGCAACATGAGATAGTAAAAAGAAAAAATCGCTTTAATCCTTAAAAATATCTGCCACATTGTCACGGTATGTCAGTTTTTGTCGAGTAGCAGTACTGTTTGTTATGTGGATGGGGAACAGGTGTTACTCTGAGCTCTGTAGCTCTTAAGAACTGTTTCTGACCCGCAGTCCAAAGCCAAAGTTTATGTCCTTACCTAGGAGGTAAAAATTGTGAGGGTTTTGTTTTCCTAGCAGTAGGGTTGAATTGTACTTGTTCATGCATCAATTGTATATTTACAGCATTGTGTTTACATAAAGCAGCTACTGCCTTTTTCAGAGTTTTTTCATATAGATGCATGTATTTCTGGATACATCTAAGTTTTAGTGAGTAGCTGGGTACAAGCTAACATCTTATGTGAATTTATATTAAATTCAATAAATTCCTGAACCCATGCCCACAGGATGTGAGATGACCAGTTACACAGAAATAGCGCTAGTGTGTGTGTGTGTGTGTGTGTATCAGTCTATCTGTATCTCTGAAAACATATTTTTCTCTTTATAGGCAAAAAAGTTTATTTATACTTTAAGCCTTTCTTGTTGCTTAAAAGCTTTCTCTGTGTAACAGAAAGTTTGACCTTGTTTTTACTAGTAAAAGCTTACTATTACAAACCTGGTCCAAAAAATAGTAATGACAGATTAGGATACCACATGAGTACTTTTTTGACCTAGACTAGCACTGAGAGCTGACCGCTTTTGGGTCCAGATCAAATATGAACAAGCACAACTTTCTTCTTAGGCTGTCTGAAGACAGGCTGAGAGGTTGAGGCTGTTCAGCCTGGAGAAGAGAAGGCTCTGGGAAAACCTTCCTTCAGCTCTCCAGCAACTAAAGAGAGAAATACAAGAGCCGGAGAGGGACTTTTTACAAGGGTTTGCAGTGAATAGGCCAAGGGTAATGCAGTGGATAGGTTTAGATTGGATATTAGGGAGAAATTCTTCATTGTGAGGCTACTGAGACTCTGTAACAGGTTGCCCAGAGAAACTGTGGATGCCCCTTTGTGGAAAAGTTCAAGGCCAGGTTGGGTGGGCCTTGAGCAACCTGGTCTAGTGGGAGGTGTTCCTGCCCATGGGAGGAGGTTTGGAACTTGATGATCTTTAAGGTCCCTTCCACCACAAGCCAGCTTATGATTGTCAAACACAGATTGCAGTAGAACAAATATTGTATTTGAGAAGTAATTTAAGCCCTGATTCTGAAGTGAGTAATCCCATTAGTTTTGGGGAGAGCACTTATGAGTCCTTGCAGGATTTAGAATAATATTCTGTCTCAAGTAATGACTTCTTAATTTGTAAGTTCTCATGATTTTTCAAACCTTTTAGTTCAAATGTTATTCTATTTGACACAAATTGTATCCTATATATATAGATCTAGAATGTATCCTATATACAGATCTAGAATGTTGTGTCTTTTAGCCTTAGAAAAGTAAAGTTTGTTTTGGTATAGTAAGAAATCTTTGTCCTCTTGTTCATTTCAAATCCCTTGATTTCATGGCTGTGTCATTCTTCTGTAGAATATTGCCTTAATTCCTGTGTTAGGACTGCTGAGAAAAAGTTTGGATTTTTTCTCAACAGTTTAGAAATCCTAGACTTATGCTCTAAAGACTCTGTTGTAGATGCTGCAAGGACAGTGTACCTGTTATACAAATAGCACTATTGTATATTTCTAGAGCACAAAAATTTGACTTGTTTAAGCAAATTAGTGGCTCCTACTCACCTTTAAAATCAGTGAAGTGTAAAATACTTACACAAGCCTTTTATTTTTTTCAAATTTCTTAAAATGTGTTTGAAAATCAAATTGTGAAGTAGTTAAGTTCAGTGATAACTCTATTATTTGATTTTTGAATAACCTTAAAACCCAGAAACAAAACAGGCATTATTTACCAAGTTTTATCTCTAGGTGATCTAGCATTTTTATTTACACATCATTTTGTAGGATCAGTTCTGATGGGGTAAAAAAAAAATGGACTGTGCTGTAGAGCTTCGATGGAAATGAGTTTTGGAATATGTCACCCTGACCATGCTTAGAGAAGAGACAGTGAAACTGACTTAATACAGTTAGAAAACACAATATTATTCTAAAAGTTGCTATGTGTAAGTTTTATTATATGAAATGACAGCATGTCCATGATTTTTCAGGAAAAATTAAACTTCTGTATTACAAATGTTACAAAATTTTAATATTTTCACAATCAAATATTCAAGTTACTGTAACAATGCAATGTTTATAAATACCTGGCAGATTCCACATAAATTGAAGATAGAACAAATATGCTCAAGGTAGTATGCAAATATTTTGCATTTTATTTGGAGTGGTCCCAAAATGAGTCAGACTTTATTTTAATGTGGTTTTGCTACGTTAATTCTGGCGAGTGCTGCTTTCCAAGGTGGCATGCAGAGCTGTAGTACTGTGCTCCATGAAGCAGCAGTTGACTATTGTGAATACAGTAGGAACTGATAAAACCAGAATTGATGTAAAATCCTCAGCAGCTTTTTCCTAGCATTTTTTACACTGTTTCATTGTCTTTCTAAATAAGCAGGATTCTGTGAGTAGCCCAGGGCAACACAGATGATATGTTTCAGTTTAGCTAGATGTTAGCATCCCATCTGCATGGCCACTGTGCCAACTTCAGCCTTGCCCTACAATTAGTATTTATACTGATGGACTACACTTCTTTTTTCAAATCAGCTGAGCTACTAAATGCATTACTATCTCTTGAAAGATTTAGTTTATGCATGTAAGATGTAATGCCTATTATATTAAAAAATTATCTTTTGACAGAGCTTTAGCCTTGTGTATAGGCACACTTAAGTAGAAGCATATAATCTTTTAGTGCTCCCAGAAGAGGGGTTTTTTGTTGTTAACTTAGGAATTAAGAGGGTAAAAAACTTTATAGAACAAATGGTTTCCTGTTACAACTGACCTTCTTGATTATTAGGTAACTGGTGAGTTCATAATTTCTTCAGCTACCTAATTTAGTAGATCTTTCAGGTGCATGTTGAAAGTGTATATGCCTAAATGATTCACATTGTGAGGTCCAGCTGTAGAATGACTCTTAAGGCAGAATTGATATTTTTCCTTTGTGTTCATTCTAGGTTGTTTTCAATTAAAACATCAAGTCTGTTTTCCCCTGTACTTATTCCAGTCATGTGCTTTGTAATTTCTTTGTAGTTATCTTCCGAAAATGCAACTTAGTCTAGGGTGTTGTCCTATAGATTATATAGAAAATTCCATTACAGACTTACTTGTATACTTTTTATTTCCATAATAGGCCTACTGACTTGCCAAAGTTAATGAATATTGTATTTAACAATCCAGAAAAGTGACATTCATCTTGTACAGGTGACCTTACAGCTCAGTGTGTGCAGAAGCCTTTGTTTCTCCCTCTGATTTTTGCGGCCCTCTTCATCTTAAGTCTTGTCAAATTCACATATTTGAAGATGAGAGATGCCTAAGTTTTGGGTTAAGTGGTTGAAAGTTAAGTATATTTACAACTGTTTTAAGTAATACTATACTTTTTCAAGTGTCTTAGAATGATGCAAATAGCAATGCAGAGATGTGGTGTTATATATACGTGTAATATAAATAAGATTTAGCAGATATCTTTAGGATTTTGTAATTTAGTAGCAGTCATTAGTTTTATTTTATTACTTGACACAAGGAGAAACAGACACAAGATGGAAATACTGCCTTATGCAAGGGGATGTTATTTACCAGGGTTTTATTGAAATTTCTCATATAAAAAGACTCTTAAGTTGTTTGGCATATTTCAGGGTTTTCAGGAATGATTCACTTCTCTACTAAACCTAATAATAAAAATACAGTGATGAACCTGTTTATACACAAGGAAATTTTGGGGATTAGCTCCCTGGAAAAAAAAAGGACAAAATTACAGCATAAGAATTTATGATCTTTTTATCTCTTTGGGAATTCATTTTTTTCATGAAAAAACAAAGCGTTTGTATCTTTCCAGAGAGATGCATTTTCCCAGATATCTTTGCCTCACATATTTTCATAAGATTATGTCTTTGCAATGTCTTTTCCAGATCTAAGTGAAGCAAGACTGAGTTCATTGAATACTGACTGCTGAAGTTTGATAGCAGTCACTCTCCTTTATTTATGT